TTTTTAATCTATTTTTAAAGCTCAATAGCACTCAACTGCAAGTTTTCCAACCTTGTTTTCCTAAAGAGAGAACTTAAATTTGGAAAAAAAATGTTCTACCGAAAATTTAACAAATTATATATGATAGTAATTAAATTCCCCTTACTCTGGGTTGAGTTTACTATTAAATGGAAATCTAGAACTGACAGAAAGTATGCATACATATTACTAGAAAATACTTATTATATAACACAGGGAGTCAGTACAGTATAATAATAGCTATGAGCATAGTCTACAGTGAGGCTACCTGTGTTGAAATCTTGGCTACAACTTATCAGCTGTGTGACTATGGGTAAGTTGCTGAACCTCCCCATGCCTAGCACCCTCATCTGTAAAATGGGATAATAATAACCATCTCAAAGGGTTGTTAAGAGAATTCAGTGAGTTCATATTTATAAATGTCTTGGCACACAGTAAACGTCATGTAAGTGGTTACTGCTTAGAATTTTTAATATAGCTAACATTTATTGAGCACTTACTATGTGATAGGTTAAATGCTTTGGACATGAATTTGCCTCAAATAATCTTCACAGCAGCCCATGATGAAGATACTACGATTGTCCCCATTTAAAGATGAGAAAATTGAAGCACAAAAAGATTAAATGACTAAGACAAGGTCAAGCACAAATGCTGAAACAAGGATTTGAACCCAAATCTGACGCATGACCTACAATTTTAACATAGATTACAAGGTACACACACACTAGACACTAGAAGCAGTAGCCTCCAGCTGTACTTTATCTTAAAAAGAGGGCAGAGGACAGATTTTACTGAAATAAATCTGAATATGTATTTTCTGGAATAAAGTAGGGTATTTTAAAAATTAATAAAGATCACTGTAATACTAAAGTATGTATATATGAAATAACATGATGTCTGATATTTGTTTTAAAATAATACAGCTTGGGGGAAGGGAGAAGATAAAAGAAAAAAGATCAGACATGCATTGATAATGGTTAAAAACTTGCTGATAGGCACACGGGGGCTCATTATTTTATTCTCTCTACTTCTGTAAGTTCTTTAAAATGTCCATAATAAAAGGTTAAAATACAAATAGGGTGCACAGATTAAATACTTTCATTACACAAGCAAACAACTTTCTTATGATTCCCTGTATCAAAAACATAAAAGGATACTTGATATTTATACATTTTACAATGTATATGTAATCTATGAAACGATGGTCTCACTTCAAAAAACTGAGGATCTTCTCAGCCAAAATAAAAATTTAATAAAAGTATTTAAGCACATACATGTAAATATACATATTAAATGGCTGTCTGCATTTCCATCGACTTGTTAAAAATATTTGCCGGAATAATTAACACTTTTTTTTTCATCTTTCTCCTGCCTGATAATCTCTATGATTATGATACTCTCTGGTCTGTTGCCCAGAAAATGGATGGGTTTGTACAAATATGAATCTACAACATGGTCACAAATTGAACAATGTGAATAAAAAACAGAAATCTGCTTCACCAAGAAACACATAAAATTTCTTGCCTCAAATTGTAGTTGATTTTTATACTAATGTATACCAATGGGCTTCTGATAAATATAAATATAAATCAATAATTAAAGAACATTTTATATGCTCTAAATTATAGTTAAAACAAGGTAGCTGATACTAAAGGAAAAAAACCAACATTTATTAAGCCAGACACTATTCTAGGCATTTTCATACACATTACCTCAGTAAATTTAAGACATTATATACATTTTTATAGAAAGAATATTAAAGTTCAGAGGCCCAAGGCCACAGAGTTTATTAGCAACTAAATTGGCATTCAAACTCAAGCTCAATGACAAAACCCACTCTTCCCCCCACTATATCAGACTACCATATGGGAGGCAAGCATCTAAACTCAAATCAAACTTAAATATTTATGGCCTTTTTTAAGTGGACCACAAAATGTTTAAGTTACTGGTTACATATATATTTTACAGTGGTAGCTTGGCTTTGGGTAAAGAACTCCAGCTAAACACAAAAAGCATTATGTCTGCTCTTGTGTGACTCTTTTCCCACAAGTCTCTTAATTTCAGCCTCAGGTTACTCATCTCTATAATGGGGAAATTAATACCCTTGCTGTCCAACTGCAGGATTACAAAATTCAAAGAGGATATGTAAAACCACTTCAAAAACTACAAAATACAGGGGCTCCTGGCTGGCTCAGTCAGAAAAGCATGTGACTCTTGATCTAGGGGATTGTGAGTTTGAGCCCCACACTGGGTGGAGAGATTACTAAAAAAAATAAATAAACTTTAAAAAAAATTATGTTAAAAACCCTACAAAACACAAATAGTCTTTTTTTGTCTTAAAATGCTAAGAACAACAAAGTTTTTTTTCAATATAAGGTTTTCTAAAGTAATTGTCAGCTGTTAAAATTCTACACCTATTAACATTTCCAGAACTTTCTCAAACTTTTTTCTAAGCATAGTTCAATCATCGTCTCTATCACTTGGCTTTCCTTATCCTTAAAAATAATGCAACAGTGGGACCCTGCGTGGTTCAGTCGGTTATGCGTCTGCCTTCAGCTCAGGTCATGATCCCTAGGTCCTAGGATAGAGTCCCACATGGGGCTCCAGTCTTACACCCGGCTCCCTGCACAGGGAGCCTGCTTCTTCTCCCTCTCCCTCTTGCCTGAGGCTCCCCCTGCTTGTGCTTTCTCTCTCTCTCTCACACACAAATAAATAAAATCTTAAAAAAAAAATGCAACAGTAATGATACCAATGCTTTTGTAATAAATAATTAACATGCTGTTTGGAAATGCTCAATATATAAAAGTTCTAAATTCTGAATTTTTAAACGAAATAGTGTTTGGTGTCACTCTTAGTTATACTGATGATCATAATGTTTGAGCCTTTTCATATTCAGTTTATTTATAAAAAGCTAGAATTAAGATCTGGAATTCCAAAGTAGAACACCCAACATAATTTTTAGTAATTTTGTGGGGGTTTTCTCAAGGCTTCTCTAAGCAGATACAATAAGCTAACAAGCACATCAAACACAGTAACAAAATCCACTGAAACATTCAGCTGCTCTAAAAGAAGGATCAGGCTCTTTAGGAGAAAACTACATTGTATGAGTTTGCAAAGTTTCACACTTTCTCATTTAAACTCCATTTCAGAGAAAGCCTTTGCATACTCACACAATATGCTTTAAAATGGCACTTTGCTGACCTTCCAATAGTCCAGCTCTATGAAAATTCTGTGATGGGTGTAACTTCAGAGAATCTGAAAAACACAAAAAGCATTAAGTACTTTTTATGCTGAATGACTTAAAAAAAAAGGCAAGGGTGGCATACATCTCTTACATAACTGCCGTGTATTTTTAAGAACTAAAGCCCATATTTGTGAATATACTCTGCAAAAGAAGACTGAATTGCCTCTACATTGGTCTTTATGCTAAACTTCGATTTTCATAAAGCATTTGTTTCACGGAAAATTATGATGATTACTGCACAAATGGTGTTAATGTCTTGACTATTTTTAGCACCCAATTGTACCCCATTAGCGCTCTTCTAAGAATCATCTCTTGATATACTCTTTTTCTTCAGACACTCAAAACTACAATATTTCCAAACTACTTCAGGTAGGCTGCCTGAAAAACATCCTACAGGATGGTGACTGCCAACTAAAGTCATCAGAGCAACAGACAATGGCTACAGTTACTAAGTAGGACTCTGTGTACAAACCCAATCGTCAGTCTGTAAAGTCCAGTACCTTCCAGAGTAAACTATCTCACTGATTCGCTTAAACAATGTAAATTTACATAATGTGAAGCTGAAGTCCCCCTTTCTGGAGGGGGTAGACTCAGTGGATGGATACATCACACCAAAACTGAAGAAGTGCTGGATTTCTCAGTAAGGAGGTTCACAACGGCACATATATATTTTTTTAATATGGTGAAATGAATAGCTAATAACCCAGTTATGTCTTTTTGCCCCTCCCAGTGGTTTAAAAAGTGAAGAGTGTAGTGGTAGCGTTCTGGTTTGATGCCCCTTGCACAGGGAACCTGTTCTAACACATTCTTGTGGAGCCCAGTATAGGAATTTAAACCCCGTAGAGATCAACTCAAGTGTTAGTATCATAGATCCCGGGAATCCCCTTTAGGCCTTAGCCAAAAGAGTTTAAAAATGAGAATCTCTGTCCAATGCCCCCTCCCTGCAACGAGCCCTTGAACGGCAACGAAAGAGAAAATTCTCAAAGGACAGCGTCAGTGCCTGAGCTGGTACCCCTGGGACAGGAGAGGAATAAAACTAATCCAGAAAGAGCACCCCTATCTTTGTAAAAAGACAGGGAGATGTAAGTCATTAGAATGCCACAGAGGTGGAAAGAGAGAAAAAGAAAATTCGGGCCCTTTCCAGCAATAAGATGACGAGGAAAGGAAGAACGCCTGGTCGAGGGGGGCCGTCCCAACAAGGGGAGGGAGTGGACTAGGCCGGAGGGAGGGGGGGTAGAACGACGGCGCACAAACAACCTGGAGGGGGAGAAAAATGGTGCCCCTGCACCCAGAACCCGCTCCAAGCCACACCGCCCGTTTGGGGGCAACTTTGCTGGGGAGGATGGTCCTGGTAAGAGGGGCCGCGGCGCACCGATCGCAGCAGCCCCAGCGCGGGGCCCAGTCGGGGAGGGGGGAATCCCTGAGCCGGGGAGGCCGGGACCGGCCGCTCGAGGAGTGTGGCGGGGCCGGACACGCCGAGGGACTCTCAGAACGACTGGTGCCGCAGAGACCGGGGGCCGACGGCAATTGGGCCCCGTGCGGCCGGCGGCTCCGCGGGGGAGGGGCCGCCACTCCTCCCCTGCCCCTTCCACCATCACCCGACCCCATCGGTCTCTCCCCACCCCCCCAAAACAGGCCCGACCGGCCCAGGCTTGCCCCCACCCCCGACGGGAACCCCTCCGGTCCCCCCCGGGCTGGGCCTCCCCGCCCCCACGCCCCAGCCCCCAGCCTGACTCACCTCGCGAGTACAGGGACTTGGGCGATTCCAGGTCTAGGTCCGCGCTGAGCAATGAGATGAAGTCCGAGGGCATCGCAGCTCGACCCAGCCCGGCCCGAGGGCAGCGGGAGGGGGGGAGCGGCGGTGGCGGCGGCACCTCCTCTCCGGGACCGCGGGCACCGAACCGGGGGCGGCGAGGCGAGGGCGGCTGCTGCTGCCTCCTCCTCGAGGGCAGTGACTTCCACCGGGCCGAGGACCGAGAAAACGGCAGCAAGGCGGAGGGGAAACTCCACGGGGACTAATTCCCGGCGAGCCAGGAGGGGGGTTCAGGGCGGGGAAAGGGAGGGGGGAGAGCCAACGGGTCCGTTTCGTGCTTCTCCTCAGCGAAAACTGACGGTCGCCGCCACCGCCGCCGCCGCTGACAGGAATCTGAGCCCCGCCCCCCGCGGGGCACTGCGCAGGCGCGGAAGGGGGGCGCCCCAGAGCCTGGAAGAGCTAGGGCGGCCGCCGGAGGGCGGGGAGACGCGCCAAGGAACAGCATCAACAAGGGCTTCGCTTCCTGCCGCGGCTGCTGTTTCCCAGCCGGGAAAGGGCCCCGCCAGCTGGGAGGGAGGCAGGGAGGTGTCCGCGCCTGGGGCCCCGGGGAGGGAAAAGGTATTTGCGCCGACCTGGTGGCGGCGAGCCCGAGGCGGCCGGCCCAGCGCCGAGCTCAGCTCAGGAGGAGACAGACCTGAGGGAGCCGAGGTGACTGCGGGACGAGAAAAAGGACCCCAGAGCTGGGTCCGGCCGGCCTGGGCGGGCTGGCTTGGGGTCTCACAGGGGAATGGAGTTTCGTCCCTTGGACAGCCACCAGCCGTTTAGGGTTTTCATAGGAGTGTCTAGCTTGAGTTGGCCAAAGAACAAGCAAACTCATTTCTTAATTAGGAAATGACAGACCATATGTAAAAACCTCGAGTTATTGCATGTTTTTAATTCAAGAACCTTCTTCGTCCTTTGCCCTCCCCCTTTTTGTCTCCCCTCCCCCATTCTTTAGAGGCTGAAAATTCGAAACAAAACAAAACATAAAAACAACTTTCTGATTGTGCTGGGTGGCCGGGTTTATTCGGAGTAGAAGATAAAAGACTACTTAAAAATTGGATCCTATGAATCCACCTGGCTGTTCTAAAGGAAAAAGGAAAAAAGCACAGCTAAACACCAAACTTCCAAACCCTTTTTCATTTTTTACCTTTGGATTAGGCAAGGATGGAGGAAAAACACATTTAATTGAGTTTTTGCTATTCTGTTCATGGGGCCAAAAGTTTCCGTTGCAAAAACTGAAAATCCTCACCTACACCGCAGACCGTTTCCTGACTCTAATAGACTTCTGAGAAATTTTTAATCAAGTTATTAAAATATCAATTGGAGCGCAGGGTATGCATCTTGGGAAATAATTTTAATCTTGTGTGGAATACTGATGCCAGCAATCACTGGGCAACGTTTTTAAGCTATTAGATTTGGTTTTGGTTTTGTTATTTTATCTATAAAGATAGAGATCATAAAAATCACTCTGGTGTGTATGCGTGTGTGTATATATCATATATATATATATATCATATATAGATATATACACAAGAGCCTTTTCCCCAGGAAGCTGGGTAATTCATCTGGACTTGGAGTCCTGGAGATGGGGAAGAAACTCAGCAAAAGAGGCCCCAGTGCAGGTGTCTCTGGGGTGGGGCTCTTTGCAAAGCTTTACCTGCAGACCTAGAATTTAAACTTGTGTCATCAGAGTCTCCCTATCTTTCCATCTGAACATCTGATTCAGGTTGCCCAATTATCTTCACTGCATTCTGTGCAGTAATGAATCAACCCTGTGAACATTTTCTTCCTGTCAGAGGTAACAAAGCTTTTCAGAGCCATCCCAAGATGGCAAAGCAGAACAGGAAACTACTCTCAAATCTCATTGCCACTGTTTGCTGTTGCAACAAGTCCCAAGGGAAGTCCCTTCATAACTGGTAAGAGCCCCACTCATTTGAGAAGATTTTAAACTCAAATTGCCCAACAGGCCAAGGCCTTGGCCAAAGCCTTTTAAATTGGAGCAAATACCTGTTGGAGACCCCCCCCCACACACACCCCAGCCATCAGTCAATACAAAATGTGAGGAAAGGAAATTGCAATTTACCAGGCAGAACCCGAATACTAAGAAGTTGGGTGTATCACTCTGAAAATATCCTTTTTCCCCAAACCTATGTAATCATTCAACAAACTTAGGGTATAGGAAATCCCCAACACTGTTCTGACCCTAATTAACAAGTCAAGAATTGGCAAGGCCTCTTCCTTCCCCTTTCCCTCAACACTTCTCTGCCCTTTTGTGCCTTTTTTCCCCTAGTATGAGTGCTTTGTTGTTTATGTTAATCAGATTTCCCTTGGCTTGGTAAAACCAAGTAAAGGGGGGAGGGGGGCAAGTGTGACTCGACCTAGACTAAATTCTCCTAGATGGATTCTTTATGCTCAGGCCCCACTCCATCAGGCCTTGCATCAAGCAGTGATTATATCTCAAAGGGTATTTGAAAATTCAGTGTCCTTCTCATTTCCTTTTACAGAAATACATTTTTTGAAAAACCGTTTAGATGGATAGTTTTCATGGCTGAGCTTTGCAACAGCACGGAGACCTAGATTTCATGTTATCCTTAAAATTTCAGTGACTAAAAACACAAATTCATTAGTAAGCATGTTTGCTCTGCTCTGATCACAAAATATATGACCCGCATGATATTCAGGGTTACCAAAAATAACTATCTGATCATTGTGTCTTTAGTAAATTACATGCTACCCCCAGTTCCAAGGATATTCCCTCTGTAGTCATTAATATCTCCTTGCTTCCCCTTTTATTCAGTCTTTGAAAGAATCTCATATTATATTTCAAAAACCACCCATCACTCAAACATACACCTTCATAAAACTTTGTGCACAATAAAAAGTAAAGCTTTTTAAAATTTGGAAATTGGGGCGCCTGGGTGGCTCAGTCGTTAAGCGTCTGCCTTCAGCTCAGGTCATGATTCCAGGGTCCTGGGATCGAGCCCCGCATCGGGCTCCCTGCTCCATGGGAAGCCTGCTTCTACCTCTCCCACTCCCCCTGCTTGCGTTCCCTCTCTCGCTGTGTCCCTCTCTGTCAAATAAATAAACAGATCTTTAAAAAAATAAAAAATAAAAAATAAAATTTGGAAATTTCCTCTCATTGAAAATTACAATAGGATTATGGAACAAAACATAAAGCAGATTTAGTAGTTTGTAGAATTCCTTTATATTCCTTCCCAATCATCATATCACATTCCCAAGTTACTTGATTAAAATTTCACAAGAACCCAGATTCAACTACAAGGTTGTATAGATTATGCAATAGAATGGCAGTTTTTATACTGGTGGTGTGTTCTTTAACCCCTCCTGGACCTGTTTAGGCACTTAGTGAATTGTGTTGCTGGATCTACTCTAAATGAAAGAGGTTCAAATATCAACCACTGAAAAGGAATTAAATAAACTCATACAGAACAGAGGAATGTGTTGTCACAAGATAATCTTTGTCATTGTAATACAATTAAGGCTGTTAAAATAATTTTGGTCACATGTATATTGTAAAGAACCTGCTAAACAAACACAAGATCTGAAAGGAAAATTTCCAGAGCAGTTCAAGTCATGGACAAAAAAAAGTTCAGACCGAAAATTATCTTTGCTCCACCTTGGGAGCACTCCTTAATAATAATGGAGAATTGATAGTGGTGGGAAATAGCAATGACTGCATTTGTGCTGAAATTGTAAACAAAGTCTTATTTGATTATGACTATGTGTCAATTTTCACCCTTAGAACATGTTCTAGCAAATATTTCTAAAGGCGAAATTAGTTTTGATAGTTTTGCCACTGGATTTAGAACATTCTCACTCCTTATATCTCTCACTGCCTAAATCTGATAATCAGGCATCTGATTCACTTTGATGAAGTACTTCTGTACTTTATGACTGCGTCTGAGTCAGAGTTGTCATCTGAAGTCTTACAGAGGCCAGTTCAGTCTCTCAAGATCTAGAATAGTTGGAAGTCCTGAGATACAGAGCAATTAGCTTGAATTGGGAGAACCTGGTGAACAGTGGAGAAAGGAGAGAAATGCCAGAGAAACCCAAGGGGTGGATTAGGGGGGAGAAATTTTAATGGGAAAATAGAAACCTCTGAGCACAGAGCGCCTGGGTGGCTCAGTCATTAAGCGTCTGCCTTCAGCTCAGGTTATGATCCCAGGGTCCTGGGATCGAGCCCCTCATTGGGCTCCCTGCTCCGTGGGAAGCCTGCTTCTCCCTCTCCCACTCCCCCTGCTTGTGTTCCCCCTCTCACTGTCTCTCTCTGTCAAAAAAAAAAAAAAATCTTTAGAAACCTCTGAGCCCATTAAACCAGAAAGGAAGGAGAACGTCTCTAGGTCATCCCAACGGTAGGCAGGTTGGACTTAGGTAAACTGCATTCAATTCAGTCCTTATTCATACTGGCTTTGACACCACCATGTTTGCTAAGATGCTCTTTCCACATCTGATCATAACATGAATAGTCTAGTAGCCCCACCTCAGCTGTGACATTAGTTTGACCAAGAGTATGAATTAGAAATGGTTTTACAGGGCTACCTGGGTGGCTCTGTTGGTTAAGCATCCAGTCTGACTCTTGGTTTTGGCTCAGGTTGTGATCTTGGGGTCATGGGATCGAGCCCTGTGTCAAGGCTCCATGCTCAGCAGGGAGTCTGCTTGAGGTTCTCTCTGTCCCTCTCCCTCTGCCCCTCACTCCGTGCTCTCTCTCTAAAATAAATAAATAAAGATTTAATTAATTTATTTTAGAGAGATAGTAAGAGAGAGCACCAGTGGGGAGGAGAGGGAGAAGCAGGCTTCCTGCTGAGCAGGGAGCCAGATGTGGGACTTGATTCCAGGACCCTGGGATCATGACCTGGGCCAAGGCAGATGCTTAACCAACTGAGCCACCCAGGTGCCCCTAAATAAATCTTCTTAAAAAAATGGTTTTACAGTTTTTATTACCCTCTCTCTTAATTCAGGGAGGTTTTTTTTGCTTTTGTTTTTGTTTAAGATTTTATTTATTTGAGAGAGCAAGAGACAGAATACACATGCGCACACACAGGGAGGAACAGAGGGAGAGGAAGCGGGAATCCCAGTTGGGGCTTGATCTCACAACCCTGAGATCATGACCTAAGTCGAAATCAAGAGTCAGATACTTAACTGTCTGAGCCAATCAGGTGCTCCTTAATTCAGGGAGTTTTAACCTGAAGTCCATGGATTTGTTTCAAGGCATCTGTGATCCCCTTAAACTTGCATACAAATTTTTGCAAGCTTGTATCTACATACACTTTTCTC